AACGGCGCCTCCGACAGCTTTCGAAAGCTGTCTCGGCACTGATCGTTTCGTTAAACCGCTTTCGAAATAGTGCACACAGGCGACAGACTGAATAAAAAAATGTCACGAAAATGGAAAATGTCACGGTGGTGTTGAGCTCTCTGATGGGGTGACCGTAGTGTAACTTTGGTATGACCGAGTGTGCACATTAGTTACGGTATATTGCGTATCCTGCATGGACATGACCATTTAATTGCAAGGTTGTTCATCGGTATGGTTGGTGGATTTGTCATTTGTAACCTCCAATGTTTGATTTATACATGTACCTTAATAATTTGTACGATGGTGGCTTGTAGCGGACGTGTGTGTTTCTTTTGCGTTGGTTCAATTATAATTGAAAAGAAGAGTGGCGCCAGGGAGTCACTACATGTAGGAAGTTACGTGCATAGACAATACCGTATTTGGTCTTGACGTGTACTACGCGTGCGCGTATGTTGTCACTTCCTCCTTCAGGTCGGATCGAGTAATAAACTTGACGTGTAGTGTGTTGTGGCTAAGTCTAGTGTTCTTTCGACTATATTGGCGCTATTCGTTTCGAAATACCGCTCAGTGGCGACATGCCGAACGAACAATGCGTACCGTCGCGTGAGATGTGTCTCCAGGGGTTCGGTGGGTACATGAAGTCGGCGTTCTGGATCTGGTCGTTGATGTCCTCGTCCTCGTTGAAAGGGAAGGTGCCGCTGAGGCTGACGTACATGACGACGCCGACCGACCACATGTCCAACGATCGGTTGTAGCCCTTGTTCCTCAGAACCTCCGGAGCTGCGTGCCAGAAAATAGGAATAGGAGATGAAAGTAGAGAATATAGTGAATTCGTGTGAGAAGAGAGTGGGAATAGGAGATGAAAGTAGAGAATAGAGAATGAGAGAAGAGAGTGGGATCGAATAGGAGATGAAAGTAGAGAATAGAGAATGAGAGAAGAGAGTGGGAATAGGAGATAAAAGCAGTGAATAGAGAACCATACTTTTGGGACATGCTTACACGTGATATGTAAACGTGGGCATTTAACTTAAGTGACATTAATGAAATAATACGAAACGGTCAATAACACTGGAAAATTGCATTTTGACGATTGGTTCGCTCTGCAAAGCGAAGTTCAGAGATTTTCCATACAGGTTCCTCTGAACATCCTTTAGAATGCCACCATATAATAATTGAGCTGAGAAGGGCTATGTCCCCCAGGGTACTATCGGAGGGTACCCTGGGTACGGTTTGATATATCAGAACGTACAATTGTACTATCTAATATGCCGGATCGTACCTCGCCTACTCCACTAACGAGTCTAGGGAGTCACCTACGCCTACTCCCTAACCCAACCCTAACCATATCAGACAGTTACCAGGGTACGTTCCGGTATACCGGACCGTATCCAGGGTACGTTCCGGCAGTACCCTGGGGGACATAGATGAGCTGTGCTTACCGAGATAGGCAGGAGTGCCAACAACCGATCTGCGAAACGACTTCTCACCAATGATGCGTGCAAATCCAAAATCGCACAGTTTGATCTATGACAGAAACACGCAAAGAATGTTAAAGCGATATTGCATGAAGTAGCTGGCACAAGTAGTTATGGCAAATGCCTATGCAAATATGTGTATATTAACATATTATCATTTCTACCATTCATTCCTCATCATAATTAGACAATAATAACTGGCAAGTAGCGTAAATTAACGACGATTTAAATGAAAATAATGCTGAAAGCTGTTATAGTGTCACCTTTAAAAATACTTTGCACTAATAAAGGTAAAAACTCCAATTGCCGAAACATAATAATAATATAGTCATTATAAAAAATGTTTATGCGTTACAACGGACATTTTACATAACATAATTTTATGCGTTATAGAACTGCACTTGCAATTTCAAAATAGTGCTACAATCGTGTATTTCACACAAAAATAACTGCATTCCGCCTCGCATTGTCACTTTTCGCTTCCCTATCTTTTTGCTAATACCTGTGGGAACTCAGATGTAGTGGAAGAAAGCAGTACATTTTCTGGCTTCAAGTCACAATGTACGATGTTGCACTTGTGTAGGTACTTCAGTGCAGCCAATATCTGCAAAAAGAAATGCATGGGTTCGTAAGTAAAGTGTTAAATTATTTGTGCATAGGATATACATGATCCACATGCCCAAATAGAAAAAAATTACGAGAGAGTGGAATTCCAGCACTGGAAATGTCCATTTTCAAATGTTGCTCAAGTCACCATGTTATGAACAACATATATTTTGTGTCTTTTTCCTTATGATTTCTAGGGTTTCACGGCTTTCTATGTAGACACAGAACATGATTTCCTTAATTCAAGAACATTCCAGTTTTTCCACGAGTTTAATATTCCTGGCTGTCAACCTCCGAATTAACACGGAGAACACAATCACACGTTCTCGGCTGTGACACCTGGCTTAATTACCTGAGTGATTAAGAATTTGGTGACACTTTCCGACAACCTCCCGGTCGGCTGTGACACCTGGCTTAATTACCTGAGTGATTAAGAATTTGGTGACACTTTCCGACAGCCTCCCGGTCGGCTGTGACACGTGCTTAATTACCTGAGTGATTAAGAATTTGGTGACACGTTCCGAAAGCCTCCCAGTCGGCTGTGACAGAATCATTTCAAGCATGTCACCCTTCAGCTTCTCCATGACAACAAAGATCCTCTCCTTCGTCTCAAACATGCGCTCCAGATTTACGATTCCTGGGTATTTGAGATCCTAGACATCATTTTCAAGCAAAAGATAAGGTTACCAAAGTATACATGACTAGCCCACATAATGGCACTGTGCAATTACTTAACCATTGTTACTGTAGTGTTTTTGGCACGTAAGTACATAATATATATTCTTAAACTTGAACAAGTAATCGAAATATCACTGTTATTAATTTATTACTATTGTTATTATGTTACTATGTTACTATATTACTATGCTACTATGTTACTATGCTACTATATGTTACTATGTTACTATATTACTATGCTACTATGTTACTATGTTATTATGTTACTAATGTTATTCTATTATTACTATATATAGTCCTACATCTGTCATATATTACAAGCCTGTGTGTATGGATGCGCGTGCGTGCGTAACATATGTAACCGTTGTAACAGTGCTACCCATTTCTTGTGTATGCATATGTACCATAGTGACATTACAACAGACGTTTGGCCAACCCTAGAACTGACGTCAACATGGTTAAAAAATATGGCTTTTTTCCTGTTAGATTAGATTAGAAAGGTAAGAGAGCATACTTGGAGAATTGCAACTTCGTTCTTCAGCTGAGCCTCTTGTCGCCGTGGAAACCGAAGTTTATCGATGACCTTAATAGCAACCTCCCTGTTTGTCTTTCTGTATACGCCTATAGATCAAGGAGAAAGAAATAGTATATGTGATGAGTGTATGTTTTCAGTGTATTATATTATACAGCCACAATGGGTAATAGGACCAACACACTGACATGTGATATCAGGGGTTATTTACCCCTGGTGATATATCTAGACAGAAATCACAGAGGGTTCTTAGCTTGCACAAAATCTCTGTATGAAATACCAAACCACAACCCGACACGCATTACATTGTAGGCGTCTGCTTTAGATTAAACTCAGTCTCTTGTTTCGCAAGCACAACGTTACATGAGTCCACCATAAGAAGTTCTATTAGAGATCCAACTTACCATTTGACCCCCCTGACTTCAAACCTAATACGTGCTGCTTTCAGCGTCTAAGAAGAATGTCTTGTATATCAATGAGAAGGGGAAAATAATCAGAGGAGGGGAATCTACATCAATGAGAAGAGGAAAATAAACAATGATATATAATATATTAGCTATATATAAATATAGATTATCACCGCACGGAGTTGGGTACGATGTGGGCTAAGTTAGTATAGTCCTTCTATCAGTGATCATACCACGTCTAGTCGATCAGTCATACCTACCAAAATAATAATAATGCTGCGATGGGACAACTACTCTCTCATAGATGTTGCGAGGGAAAGGAAGCTCGGGCACTATCCTCCCAAAGCAACACATGAGCAAGCATATGCCCCCAACACAGCATAAGATTTAGTGCATCACAGACACTGCAACCTACTTGGCTTATATACCTTCCTTATACTCCAAGTGCCGTGCAGTCGATTCGTAACGAAAACGATGAACACAAAACACAACGCCGTACGAAACTTTTGCGGCGCCCAGACGCAGGAGAATCGGACGGAACACAGACTTAAATAACATCGCGTCGCGCAAAGCAATACTGCTCAAGGCCTGCGCATTATACCAAAGGAAGCAACGATTTATAACAGATGCACAACGATAATAACTTACAGACTAAAATGACATTGTCATTATTAGCTGCCTGAAAAGAAAAAGTATCACCAACCTCACTATGACAAATGCGAACACAAGATCTGACAGTGATCGGAAATCTCCCGTGTTGTTACCGGTGTCACTTTGATCCATAACACCTCTGCAAGGAAGAGGAAAGGGCGTACCGGTGGACAAGCACTTTCAACCCTGCGTCAGGTTAGAATATAAGGAGTAGAAACGTGGACGTGCAAATTTGTTGCAAGAAATCGTGGACAGAGTACTCTTTCCAGTTGACTATCAAAACAGTCGTAGAGACCAGTCCTTTAATAAATGAAGACACTACCCTTAAACACTGTAAAAAATTGAATGAAATGAAAAAGTGAGAAAAATTTGCATTTTATTACAAAGGAATTTTCTGTGCTTATACTTAGCGACAAATCCTTAGATAGAAGAAGGGTTCACAGATCTGCAGCATGCCTTTTCTCACATTGGGTTCTAGCCAATAAATACCTAACCCCATTGTTCTTACCAAACTTAATTTAAGGATGCACACCAGTCAGCCGGCGCGTGGATGAGGCTGGCGGTGATGCTCGGGACACACACCTCGGC